CTAGCTGCCTAATTATAAAAAAAAAATCCTCACCAGCCTTAATACCATCACGAAGCTTGTTATTATACTCGGTTAATAACTCATACTTATCTTGCTGTGGATTGATTGTCTAAATATAAACTTTGTCATAGTTAAAATTATTACCAAGAAGCAAGTTCATAAGCAAATTTGTTTTTCCTGATCCAGTTCGCCCAACAATAAGATAATGACAATCAGGAAGTTCATTGTTATGTTTATGCTTCACCAGTCTCTCTGTATCAAAGTTTAATATCAACGAATTTGCCATTGTTGTTATAATTTTATATAATGTTGATAGTTTTATGTAGGACAGTAAATAACGAGTTACTATACAAAATTTGGAACATTAGCAGGAGATGTATCAACTGAAGGTTATCAATGTGACTTATCTAAGTAAGTAACTCTTGATCAGCTCAAAAATGAAAATAATAATTTATTAAATGTTGCCAGTGTAGATCCAAATGAAGTCGTCATTTTCCAGGACAAACGAGGACGATTAAATACGAGTAATGTACAACTGTCAGATGTACTTGTACGAAATCCTGCTGCGGTTGTTAATAATATCGTTACTTTTAACAATCTAGGTAAGATACAAGATTCTGGTAGGTCAGTTAATGATTATGTTAAAAAAGCTGGTGATGTATTTAGTGGGAACATTGTTATGAACCAGAACAAGATTACATATCTTGGAAACCCAACTGAGGACGGTGACGCTGTAACAAAAAAATATGTCGATGACAAAGAAGTTCCAATCAGTAATGATATAACTGCGCTCAAAAATGAATTTCTTGGTCACGTGAACACGTTTTTAAGTTTTCGCAGAAACATAAACACTCTTAGAAATGATTTTTTAAAAAATACATCAAATGTTGACATTACACTCGATAATATCAACACAAAACTCAATGATATTATAAGTGGAATTCCTGATATTATTGAGAAAACGAGTATAATTAAAATTCCTCACAAACAGATTAAAAATATTGTGTATACTGTTGATGATGGATCTGGTGCATGGACCAAGCAAAATAACTCTATCAAACACATTGCAGAAGTTACTGGTGTGTATAGATTGTCAGTGTTTAGCAGTACAAAGTTTAAAATACTTATCAGATTTCTATGGAATTTAACCGATGAGTCTTCTGTAACTGTGTCTACAGCATTAGAAAAAAGGTGTTGAAGAAAAATTTACACTTGAACCAGTCGATAAAACTGTAACAAATGCCTCTTATCGTTGTGTTTGGAATTTCTAGGTGAAATACTGCAATTAGCTGATATTTTACCTAGGACTATGTACACAAGTATTATAATGAAAAGAAGTATAGTTGATTTCAATCATATTTTAAAAGATATTCCAGGACAGGATGTGGACGCACTAATGCAATACTATAAATATTATCACAAAAACTTTGGTGCGTTAAAAAATGTTACAAATATTATAACAAATTACTTCGAATAATATAATATCTACCGTTGTTAATGACCAGTTCTGGTATAATTTCAAGTGGGGCATCATTAAATCCGTTTTTGCTAATTATATCTGGGTTTTGGTATTTCCCTTACAGCGGCGTGTAAAAAAGTAGAACCAAGACTTTAATTAAAAAAGCATGGATGTAAAACATTATTATAACTTACAAAAAACTACTTGATCAGATTTGATCTTACCTACGAGGAATAAAATATGATATGGACAATTTAATACGCGAGTTCCGTATTATTGACAGTATGTTAACAGATATGTTACCAATGAGGGTTACCAAATATGAAAAAAAATGATCAAAGCAAGTTTGAAATAATGTAAAATATTATCTAAACTTAAGATATAATATCACTTACCCTTTTCACAAGGTGAATATCCGCTTTAACGCTATCACACAATGATTATAATAGAATCCTAGCTTCACGTTAAAAAATATTACAAATGTAGTTTAATTTCCATCTGTGAGCATGTTACCTGCTCAAGCTTTTATGCCAGATTGATTTATAAAGCGCGTCTTGCCTTTTATATGCTGTTTTTAGTCTCGTTCGAAAACATTCCACGCATGCGCATTACTGTTCTAGCAATCATGCAATAGTCAAGCTTACTTGTACGTGTAATGCCAGAGGGTGGGTTAATTTACATCTTGCGTTAAAAGATTGAAACTCTTATAAGTATAAAATAATGTAAATTATTATCTAAACTTAAAATATAATGTCACTTACCTTTCTCGCTCTGTGAATGCCTGCTTGAACGCTATCATAGAATATATTCCCAAACGTTAAAAAATATCACAAATACATAGTTTAATTTCCGCCTGTGATCATGTTACCTGGTCAAATTTCTATGCCAGACTTATTTATAAAGCGCGTCTTGCCTTTTATATGCTGTCTTTATTCTCGTTCGAGAACATTCCATGCATGCGCATTATGTAATAGTCAAGAGAGCTACCCTACCTATGGCTTACCTGTACGTGTAATGAGGGGTGGGGTTAATTTATATCTTGCGTTAGAAGTCTGAGAAGGTTTGGATTGAAACTCTTACAAGTATAAAATAATGTAAAATATTATCTAAACTTAAGATATAATATCACTCACCTTTCTTCTCGCTCTGTGAATGTCCGCTTGAACGCTATCATAGAATATATTCCCAAACGTTAACGAAATGTCACAAGTGCATTAATTTCCTCAATCTTCATACCTGGTGGAAAGCCTGCGTAAGATTGATTGATAGTTTACCTATACGGGTGTATCACGCAGTACAATGATTGGCTAAAACAGTTACCTTGACTCGTATGACGAAAGAGCATTACACCTGGCTGGCTTATGACTAACATACCTGTCTAGACAATCGGCTAAATGATTGGCTAAAACAGTTACCTTGACTCGTAGGACGAAAGAGCATTACACCTGGCTTGCTACCTGTCTAGACAAAACTTATTAACTACACAATGATGACTAACACACCTGGCTTCCTTATTAGTTGAACTGAGGGGGGGTTTAGAGGGTTTTGAATTGAAATTCTTGAGGGAGGAGGTAGTGGTGAGGGGTGGGTGAATTTGGAGAGTTTGAAATAAAACTCTTACCTTATTAGGTAACATGTAGTTGAACGGGGGGGTAATTTATATCTTGAGTTAGGAACCTTAGTATCCTTTTGAGAAAAGGGGTGGGTTTAGGACAAAAAAGGGATGGGGTGGGGGTAATTTGTATTTGTTCTGATGGTAAAAATAGGGTTTGAAATGAAACTCTTGTTTTTCTTTACTATTTTTACCTTGTTTTTAAGAGAAATAAAGTATTTTGTTAAAAATGTACAAAGCTTGATGGATTCACTCTTTCTTTTGTTAATTTTTAACGAGCATACACGTAACATTACATCTACATGAGAGACAGGAAATTATTACAGATAAATATAGAGTATTTAGCACATGTTTGAATGAAATGGATATCGAATGATATTAAATTAGTCTCTAAAAAAATCCAGCATTAATAGTTGATCGATACGCAGATGATTGCACAGCCAGTACAACTCCGCCTTCCTAGTACATGTATAACTTCCATTAAGCTTCATTGGTTATCTTGGTTCATCCTGATCGTCTCCGTCTTCTTCCCCATTTTTTTATCAACATCCTCTTCCTTCTCTTTATCATATCTTGTTGACAATTTTATTCTCTCTTTTTTTCTTCATACTTTATACTAAGAAAACGCCGAAACTCCAAAAGAAATTATTCAAAATATTCTTTTTATTTCTTATTCTTATTGCTTTTAGACTGTATTATACAATTTTCTTTTGGAAAAGACCCAGATAATGTAAGACTTACAGCAGACATTTTCAATGACTTAAATGCAACAAAAATGCATTCAGTAGAAAACCATCAACATGAAAAACAATTTAATGCAAAATAAGTAACTGTCACAAAAACTAATAAAAACTGAAATAATATAACAAGCTTTTTTTTAAAAAAATAGTAAAGCTAAGAAAATAAGATCAATACTGAAATAAAACAAACCTGGCAAAAACAAAAGAGAAAAGAAAGAAACAAACAAGACACGAATGAAACAAGTAAACGAAATAAACAGTAATTATATGAAACAAAAAACTCAAGATGGCTAAGCGATCATAAAATTAAACAAAGATGCAACAGAAACTGTAAAGAAACATAAATATATAGATCACCCAAATGAGCGAAAATCAAATGAAAAAATGCGTGTTCTTTATCAAAGAATCACTCAAACAAATGAAAGAAAGAAAAACTAAGTTAAGAACCGTTAAAGAGACACTTAAGTTTAGAAATGAGCATGAAAGAATAAAAAGGACATCTTAATATAAGCAACAATGAAAATCTCATGTAATTATGTCGGATAGAATTATAGTTATGAGCAGTTTATATATTTTAGGGGAGATAATTGACCACACTTTTTTTTATCTTCAATAGAGTTTATATCGAAAATGTATGAACCACCGTTGTTACATATATTAAATCCAATATAGACCTCTAATTCTTTAGACAGGTCTCTCATTAAATTAGAGACCTCTATAATTTAATTAGAGAGCTCTATATATCAATTATAGATCCAACTAATTCCATCAGAGGCATATATTAATAATCATTGACGTTTATACATGATAATTGTAGACCTCTCAAATTCAACTGAAGACCTCTATAAATTAATAAGAGAGCTCATTAATTAAATTGCTGAGATCTCTAACAGGATTAGAAATCTCTGTAAGTTGGCATTAGTTCAACAAATCCATAAATGTGATGTGATGTGATGTGATTTTGATTTTTAACTAATCTTTAACAATTTTTCAGTCTTATAGCTACGATGTATGCACTGTGGCAGTTTATAGTGATGTCTAGTACTGGACATCATGTAGCAGACATGTAGCATGATGTCCCACCCAGTCACATTATTCTGACACCAGGCTGACCAGTCCTAACACTAACCATTTAATGCTGAGCGCCAAGCGAAGAAGCTCTTAGTACCATTTTTGTAAATCTTTGGTATGAATCGACCGGGGATCAAACCCACGACCTCCCGCATCCGAGGCGTACGCTCTAACCACTAGGCCACCGGAGCAGTAATCCAAATATGATTTATATACGTCTTTAATTGAAATAAAGACCTCTTTAACTCATTTATAGACCTTTCCAATTAATTTGAAGAGGCCTCTTAATGGCGTCTCCCGGCTTCTAAACCTAACGATCTTATAACGAAATAATAACTTCTCTCTTTGTTGATATTTTGTTTGAGAGAATACGTATGCGTAGTAGGTTTACGCTAACGCTATGAACCAAAATGGCGGCACAACAAGAATAAATCGCAAGATCAGTACTTCATAAACATTACATCTTCAGTCTGAAATTGAAGGAAATCAACCGGTAAATAGATGGAGTTTAATTTGGATTAGGGCATCATTGAATGAAAAAAAAATGAAAAGCCAACTGTTATACCGACCGACAATAAAATAGATAACTGAAATGAGGAAATGGGAACTGATTCTTTATGATTCTTAAAAAAATATTAGTAGTTTCATCTGTGGATGTTCGTTTATTAATTTGTTATTGGGCTGAGTGGGTGGGTGTGCGGGGAATGAAAAACTACGACCAGAAGCGGTAAAAGTAATTTATCAAACTTAAAAAAAATATTCAGGTATACAATATCTTTATTCTGAAATTTGGTAGGAAAGTCTGCAATCTTGACGAAAGGATAAAATATTATTGACATCACAAAATTAAATTCCTGACTATGCTATTGTATTATTCCACCTCGCCGTGGCCGAAGAAACAAACTATACCCTCGTCATTCGTCATTTTGTACTGTTGTGTCAGCAGTGCCTTGCTGATTCACTAAAGTTAATATTCCAGCTTTAAAATTCCGAATAACTGCCAATAAATGTCTTTGTTCAAGAATTTTGATGAGCACTAAAAACTTTCCAAGGAATATAAATGATTGAATCCGAAAAATAGAAGAATTTTGAATCAAACTAGCAATGACATAGAAAAAAAAACACCTTGAGCGATGAAGTTGTGAATTAAGAACGTCTGTTTCACTATAAAACTTCAGTTTTAGACCCAGCTAAAACGCAATTCAGACCCACGTGATGAGATCACGTGATCACTTAGTCCGAGCGGCGCACCCCTCCCCCCAAAAAACTACAAGTCCATTATCACGTACTCTGGTACAGCGTTAGCTAAAAACTAATGATTCCCATACTAGAAATGAATTTTTAAAAAAAGTTGTTTACTCAAACTAACACGCAGGACAAAGGTGGCATTGATTATGACCAATCATTTTCACTGTGAAAGAAATTTTAAAAAGATTTTTACCAATTCTGAATCATGATTAGGAACTAGGTCAGCTAAAAATACAATGTAGCAATATTGGTTATTTACTGGACTGAACTGAATTTTCCGGGAAAATGTATAAATCCAATGAAAAAAATTTTCATTACAATAACATGTAATGAAATAAAAAAAATTACAAGGCAATTGTTTGGTGATTGATCTCGCAGCTGCTGCTCCATTTAAATTATTTCTTCAATTTGGTAATGATGAGAGTTCATCATAAGTTTATTAATAATACAATCGCTACGCACATTTGCAAGACTGGCAGATCCAGTCCGGACCCATCACGCCAAAGTGTAATGCGTACATGCACTTCTAACCAATTACCCTTTTAAACTGGCACAATTTTCTCAAAATTATAGAATGTCTCTGCCTGTTGAATATCTAAATCTTCAGCAATTGGGCGTTCTGTTGGTCTAGTATCCTTTTCATTTAAAAATACACCGATCTGCGCTTTTAACTTTTGCATCTAACGATCGTCTTTGCCCAATAACTGTTACCCGAATAGGTGCGTCCTTGTTGAATGATTGTTGGTGTAAAATATACTTTGGTGAATTAACCTGGGTAGATACAGCTATTAATACCACTTCGCCAATATAGAAACAATCCAGGGGTGTTTTGCAGATGGTGGTCAGTCTACGCTTGAGCGTTTTAAAGTGCACGTTCAATGGTTTCAAGGGAACCTCGAGTTGGTAGTAGTCAGGGTAGACACAACGACTAATTTCTATTTGACCATTAAGGAAATTATATGTAAATTTTTACAAGGATCTAGTATATCCACTCTAACCCATATATTCATTAATAAGTGGTACAATATCGCTATCGAAATTTATATCCTGTGTTAGGTCATCCGACACTCTTTCGGTAAATCCTCCAACCTCATTACCGTGGTCAAAATCCATCACGTATATAAAATGATGAAAAGTAATCTTAAAAACAAGCACCAAAGACAGTTAAGTACCCGCCCGGATAAATGTTAAGACTTCGAACTGAATTTCATCTTTGGAAACTAATGTTGCTGAGAATGCAACTGTGCAAGAATGTATAACAACTGTCCGACCTCTTAATTTGTGATATTACTGATACATAATCATGACTAAGGTGTGGCCAAGTCATTTATCAACATTTTTATTCGATCCTAAGTACCTTTACATCCAGTCATGGCGTAGCTACCACATTGCAAGAGCATGAAAGTCATAAAAGCATAGGGCCCACGAATACAGGGGACCCACAAGTCCATCCAAATAAATTGTTATGCTATTGAAAGAAACTACGAACAGGCAATATACCACCGCAAAATTGCTATTAACATTGCAGGGGCCCATTGGTAAGTTTTGCGTAGGGGCCCAAAATACCCTATCTACGCCACTGCTTCCAGTATGATAAAGAGTTATAATCCAGACTCGTGCACTTTCAAGATGAGAGTTTAACCATTTGTATTAAGAGAACTTAAAATAAGACGGACATTTGATAAGGTTATCTCTTCAAATGTTTTTTTTTCTTCTTTGATTAATATTCTCACAACTACGCTCCATGAATTAACTGCGCGTGGTGGTATAGGCACGTAAGAGATCTTTTCATCAATGTATTGTGTTGTAGTAGGAATGGTATCATCAACATATACTTTAATATAAGCAACCAACAAGCCGCTGTCTATAATTCCACCTCACTGTCATCTCTGCTGGTTCTTTGCGACAGCGCCTTTCAACTTGACAATACTATCTTGAATGTCCACGTTAGACTTTTTGCAGCTTACCAGTCTTATCTTCAAAATTCATAAGCTCACCTGGGCCAACACCAACAATAACTGGTTGTAAATTCAGTCTTCCCGCCAGTGTCAGTGCAAGCAACGCTTCAATAACAAGGTGACCGCATACGTGACCATGAAAACGAAGTTTGCAACTGTATAGTCGAAAAACAAAGTGCTTACTGTCCACTGTATTTCAGTAAAAATTAAACAACTTCAGCTGTTGATGCAAATCTATACGAGTCAAAATACTAATGATGCCGAGCTATCGTGCATGATGTCATGTATGTTAAGAGAGTTGCCGGTCCTTTTTGTCAGATCCTAGTTTACAATATCGGTTTCATCTTTACATCATCGATAGTAAATCTCGACTAATAAATGGTCGCGTGACCTTTTGCGTGTTGTAGCGCAACCTAATGCCATTCGAAGACTAGCTTTTAGTAATCGAATCTGACAAAATTTATGGCGGTATTATACACAACATTGGGTCATTCGAGTTTTTTTTGTGTGGACTCTTTTCTGACATATCTTGTTTATGGCTACGAAGGAATTTCTTTATGAAGACACTAAATTAGGCACTGACAAAAGCGGATTTATAACTTCGTAAAACATTTGGCGGAGACTGGCAGCAATTATTTTCTTAAAAAATTCTAATGTTTTACGCTCAATATGATAAACGCTGCAAATACAAAAAATGTTTAATGACATGGATGCAGTCTGTGCAACGGTGTATGCCTTGGAAAATGTGAACTATATGGGAAAACATGTCACTATGAATATTGCAAAACACACTTGCTGGTTTAGGCACTGGCCCTAATGTTCGCATTTGTCTTAAATGTGGCATCGGTGCCAAATAATGTGATCAACTTTGTCAAAAACTCTTCGTGAATTTTATCGCGCGCGTACACAGAAATTGGCACAAACGCCAGTGATTGCACCATCAGCATGAAACAGAAGTAGTAGAGGGGGATAGTTTAGCGACAATGGAAAAATACATTACAAACACCCCTGGGATACTTTGGCGACAAGGGGAATTTAACATGGGAAATTTAACATGGAGTGAATGGGGAAATCAACACAGCGACAAGAGATTGGGCTAATTTAGCGTCAATGGGACTTTAACTTTAAAATGGGTATATCAAAATTGGTGTCAATAGGAATTTAACAATGGAATGTCGTCTGGAGGTCAAAGGTAAATTGAACATGGGTTGCATCATGGGGTATATAGGGTCAAACTATTTAAGGGTGAAATGTATTTATAGGACAAAGGGTTGATAGGTACACATATCGATGTACAGAAGCAAATAAATGTACATCCAGTCACACAAAAAGAGGACAAAGATGTTCCGAAGAAAGACTCAGAGACAGAATAATAATAAGAACAATAAGAAATAACAAGAAATAAGAAACAATAAGAAAAGTCTATTGTATGGGTACAAAACATTTATTCAATTATATACATGGGCTCTCTGGCCTGTGCTATGGTCTAAGCACTATCCATTTAATACATAAAAATTTTGGACATGGAACAAAGCTATTGACAAGCTATTTAGTTCTTGGATCTAATAAACTACTTTTTAAAATTAAAAGTTTATGCCTTCAAGAGAAACATGCAACGTATATACATTTCATTAAAGAATGACATTTTTCATACTACAATTAATGTCCATTTTTAAAAAAGAGCTAAAACAAAACATGTAACAAACAATTAAATAGGACAAAGTTCATGTTTCTCTCTATTTCATTCACACATGTTGTTTAAATCTAGTCAGCTACCACTTGTGTGGTCAGCGTAGATGTTTCCCATCTTTTATTCTTAAATCTGCTGTTATGTCCATTATGCTAGGTACGCGTATCGGCAAGCAGATCAGTGGTGATTATTTGTCTTCTTCCCATGGAGTTACAACGTATACCATATGAATGGTCACTTTTCCATCGGTGAGGTCAAATGTTTCTCTCATCGTCTGTATCGTCGAAGCAATAGCCATCAATA